CGTGCGAAGTTCGCAGTTTCGAACAGAGGAAATTATGGCAACTAAAATCCAATAAAAAACACAAAGGGGAGCACAAAACACGTACTACGAGAAGATAAAGGAAGAGAAGGTGAAAACGACAAGTAGCAAAATAAAAAAAAAAAGTAAAAAAAGAATGAGGAAAAAAGGTCACTTTGGAACACTTAAAAGTCCTTTATAATTGTATTATCTACACAGTGTCTGATAAAACAAACACGACGAGAAACGTTGAAAGCGTACCAATACAAAACACTCAAAATTCCATCTAACACTTTCATAAAAATATGCAATTTCGGATTACTGGTATTTACAATTTTTCTTTCCCATTTTCTGTCTCGGCTTCCTTTGCTGCATGAAGCTTTTTGAAAAACTTTTTCTACAACTACGCAAGTGAATTCATTCGTTGCATACTAAAAACCATCGACTTTATTGTTAAGCATTCTGCTGAAATTTGTGTCTTTTTTGTGTTTTTTCTTCCGAGCTCACAAAATGCCCTTATTTACATAACGAATTTTTATTTATTCTCGTAATAGACGGTAAAATTATTACCAGAATGTCGGAGGGGAAGAAATTAAATAGACGGACCAGAAAAAAACAAGGAAAAACTTCCACAGAATTCTTCGATAATTTCCCTATGTTCGTTTGTTTGTTCGTTAAGAGGTTACACAATGAAATTAGATTATGTATGTTCGCAGATGGCAGCCAAAAAAAAATTAAGAAAACCTCAATTTCGCATCGGTATTTAAACAGTAGACCAAAAGTGTTATCTCGTATTTATATGTAATATCCAAAGCATGTTTGCCAGCGAAACCATTTGTGGTAATGCCAGCTTAGGTGCAGGCTAATGAACTAAGTGAGACTGTTTATGAGTTTCTATGAAATGAGAATATTTTGAACTGGAAAAGTATAATCTATTTTAAATTGTTTACTTGAAAGTCACACGAACATATGAAAACCATTATTTGTCTAGAAAATGGTTTGTCCAAACTATCTATTCCAAACCTTCTAATAAAATATTTGGGCTGAAGAAGTTAAGGTTGAGAATGATTTGTTTTCACCATTGTCTCTTCTTATCAGGAATCAATAAATACATACTAATGTCAATATGGGGAATAGAAACAAGGAATATTTGGTGGACGAACATTTAATCTCGTTTTCACTAACATAATATGTGTAGATCTGTTTGCATGATTTTCAACCACTTTGTCCCCGTCTTAATTCGTCCTACTTTGTCCTACTTGTTCTAATTTCCCCTACTTATTCTCCCAATTCCAGGATTATCTGGTCCCTGACTCTGGGACCAACAGGTCTCCAACTCTGAATTCAACTTTTTTCTGACTCTGGGACCCAATAGTCCCGGACTTGAGGACTTACTAGTCCCTTCTGATTCTTGGACCAGCTTGTCCTTGACACCGAGACTAACAGGTCTCTGGCTTTGGCACCAACTAGTCCCTGATTTGTGGACTTTTTCATCCCTCCTAATTCTTAATTCTGGGACCATCTTGTCCCTAACTCTAGGACCAATTGGTCCCTGACTCTGAAATAAACTTTTTCTTAACTCTGGCACCAACTGGTCTCTGCCTCGTGGATTTTTTAGTCCCTCCTAATTCCAGGACCATCTGGTCCCTAACTCGTAGACTTTTCGCTCCCTCCTAATTCCAATTTTATGTGGTCTTTAACTCTAGAACAAACTGGTCCCTGACTCTGAAATCAATTTTTCCCTGACTCTGGGACCCACAGGTCTTTGGCCCGAGTTCTTTTTGATCCCTCCTAATTCTGGGACCATCTGGTCCCTAACTCTGGAACCAACTAGTTCCTGCCTCTGAATTCAACTTTTCCTGACTCTGGGACCCACTGATCCCGGACTCGAAGACTTACTAATCCCTTCTGATTCTGGGACCATCTCATCTCTGACTCTGGGACATTATAATCACCCTTGCCATGTCGTCTCACAAAATGTAAATTTTTCAAATTTTCTATTTCAGTCAACCAATATTCTCAACGGTCAGCATGTAATTTTTCATGAGAAACTCGATTTTTTCTCACTCAAAACGTGAGTTTTTCAAACATCAATCGCAATTACAGCCTAATCACTCAATTCTTTTCAAATATTTTTGCATATGATTGGTCACTGGCTCAATGCGTTTCCAATAATGTATGTATCATTGATATGTGATTTCTGGTTATTGAGATTAGCCGTTACGATAATAGATAATAGATTAGACTGTTGAATATCCTACTGCCTACTCCTGGTAGTGTCAACCAAAAAAAGGCGTGCTGTTGGGCTTGGATACCGGCAACAATGCGCCGAGATACCATGAAAAATGTGCACCTACACTTGGTAGCCTCTGTGGGAGACCTGAAAATGTATCTCAAAGTTGCAGACCTCTCTGAAATTTTTGTGACTTTGTTTTGCCTAAATTTCAAGTTCTTTTCTAATGGTGTTTGTTGCGTTATACGACAACTCAATACAACCTGGCTGTGATAAACTATGAGAGAAAACTAATAACTTATCATTATTTTTTTAATTCGATAAAATTAAAGCTTATTCTCATATTCCAGAGTCGAGATTACTCGCTTAAAACTTCGTGGGCGACTTAGGTGCTTCAAAACTTTTTCGAAAACAAAGCCAGAAAGTGACATGAGGTGCGAAAATATTTCGAATTCAAAGCAAAAGCAACCAAAGTGGATAAATTCTAGTCGATCCTTTTTTGTTAGTTCCCCTCAACCCTTCCCAGTATCCCTGCTCAATCTTCATTTTTCCACGAAATTAACAAACATCGTCGCAAACGACTTCAGCCTGTACCCCAAAAAAAGGGGTGAAAAAATGCGAAAACATTCGAGCTTCGTTTTTCCGGACCAACAAACGCTGAAATTTCACTTCGAGCTTTTTGTGAAACATTTTTTTTTTCGCTAGTCGCATAAAATACCTAAAAACGTACCGTCAAACTATTTTACCCTTAGTGTGCACAGATGTCCTAAGCTATTGTGAATGCCGTCCCTTTACGTAAATAGTTTTCATAATAATCCTTCCCCAAAGAAAATTTTTCGTGGACCAGACGAGGGAAGGGAAAGCGTGAAAACTTTTAAGGAAAACATGTAACATGTCT